CTGCCATGTTTCTTTCAAGGGCTCTCTTCCGAGCTGTTGACTTCTGACAACTGTAAGGAACTATACACACAAGAGTGTGATAAATAAGATTGAAGATCTGCAGGTGCTGATAGCCACATGGGAATATAATGTTGTAGCAATAACAGAGACCTGGCTCAAAAAATTGTCATGACTGGGCATGATATATTCCTGGATGCAAGGTGTTGTGGAAAGGTGAGGAAATGAGGTCAGCTGGTAATAATGGTAAAGAGGATATTAAGCTCAACGGGAGAGAAAGCTCTACAGGAGTTTGGATCAGGATATAAAATCCAAGCAAACTACGGATGCTTGAGATCTGAAAAGAATGCACTGGGGAATCTCAACAGGTCTGGTAGCATGTATGGCGAGAGAAACCGTCAATGTTTCAAGTCTAATATGACTCTTTGGACTTGAAAAACTAATTCTGTTTCTTTCTCCCACAGATGTTAGCAGACCTGCTGAGTTTCTCCAACACTTTGTTTTATTTCAAGAACAACTTCTGTCTGATTTAAAGTCAAGAAATAATAGAGATGCTGTCCATAGTTGGCTGTATTCTATTGGTCAGCAACTAGTTAGACCAATTTAGATGGGTTTTGCAAGGAAATTACAGAGAACTACTACAGACACCTACAAAAGCTATAAAGTAGTAATTTTGAGGGATTTAATTATCTAATATAGACTAATAATAATAGTATAAAATGTAGAGAAATGAACTTTTCAAGTTTGTTCAGATAAATTTCCTTGCTCATTATGTTTCAAACTCAGCACATACTTTTGGGAATGTATTTCAAATGGATCAAGTATCAGTAGGATACCATTTGGGGAACAATGATCACATTGTCTTATAGTTTAGATTGGTAAGAAAAATGGCATGGAACAATCTAGACAAAAGTAATTAATTGAAGGAGGTTGAATATCAGTGAAATGAAAATGGTTTTGTCCAGGTAAATTGGAATCAAAATTGACAGACAAATCTGTAAAGGAACAATTTAAAGATCAGATGGTTCAAGTACAATCAAGATCCCAGCAGAAGTAAAGGTACAGCAGCCAAAACTAAAACTGTCTTGATGCCAAGAGAACTTGAGAGTAAGATGAAAAAGGTTGTGTATGACAGATGACATGTTCAAGAACAAGTGAGAACCAGGCTAAATGTAGCAAGAGCAGAGAGGAGGAAATAAAATAGACAGCGATAGTATAATAGACAAACTATAAAAGAGAACCAAAAGTCTTCTGTAGAGAATATAAACAGTTAATGGGTAGTAAGAAGAAGCGTGGATCAAGTAGGGACCAAAAATTAGCTCTCTGCATGGAGCAAGAGGATATCAAAGGCCTGTCTTTGCCAAGAAAGAAAGTACAATCTAAATCATAATGTAAGAGGAAGTAGCCAAGATACTAATTGGGTTAATAATTGACAAAGGCAGGTATTAGGATGATTATGCTTAAAATTGATTTGTCACTAAGGCTAGTTAGGATGTGTTGGAGGATGCTGAGAGTAGGAAGAGTGGAAATTCTGGAGGTACTGGCCATAATCTTTATCATCTAAATCACAATCATTTGCTTCAATACAGGGGCTATGCTGGAGAATTCCAAAGATTACACCCTTGTTCAAAATGGGTGCAAGGAATAACTGAACAACCACAGGCCAATAAGTTTAATCCCAAATGAGGAGACATTTTAGAAATGATAGTCTAGGACAAAATTAACAGTCACTTAGACAAGGGTGAATTAATTAAGAGAAACCAGCACAGATTTGTTTCTGACAAATCATTTTTACATCTATAGGTGCAAATTGTTGAAGTAAAAGTGTGTTTGATATGGTACACACAGACTTCCAAAAGGCGTTTGATGAAATGCAACATAATTGAATTAACAGCAACATTTAAACTCCTGGAATATAAGGAACAGTGACGGCATGGAATGAAGTTGGCTAAGTGACAGGAAACTGTGAGAAAGAAATATAGTGGAGCTCCCAGGGTTATTAGAACCACTGTTTGCCTTCCATGCCTAATGTGTATCAGGACAGATTGAAAATTTGAATACAAATTGACCCAAAACTTTGAAGTATTGTGAGCTGTGAGAAGAATATTGACAAACGTCAAGAGGACAGAAGCTGGTGGAATGTCAGATGAAATCCACGCAGCGATTGTAGCAAAAGTGTGAAGTTTTGCATTTTGAAAAGAAGAATGAGATGAGGCAGTACAAAATGCAGGAAACAAATATAAATGGGGTACATGAATGGAAAGACCTAAGGGGTATATTTGCACAAATCTTTGAAATAGCAAAGGGCCTTTATAGGTAGAGGCATTATGTTCAAAAGCAAGGAAATTATGATGAATCTTTATCTAGCACACATTTGGCCTTATATGGAGTATTGTGTCCAGTTCTCTGCACCACACTTCAGGAAGGATGTGAAGACTTGAAGGATTGCAGAAATAGTTTGAGAATGGAACCAGGGATAAGAGATTGGAAAAGTTGGAGTTACTCTTGTCAAAGAGAAAGATGAGAGGAAATTTGATGGAGATTTCAAAATCATGAGAGGTCTGGACAAAATAGAAGGGAAGAAACCAGTTCCAATGAAAGAATGATTATGAGCCAAAGGACATCATTTTGCATTGATTAGCAAAAGTAATGGCGATATGAGGAAGAAATTCTATTTGGCTATTGAATGCACTGCTTCTGTGTGGAGGATGATTCAGACATGGCTTTCAAAAGTGAATAGGTCTGTACCTGAAGAGAAAAAAACAAAACATGGTGCTATGGAGAAAAGGCATAGGAGTGCAACTAACTTTGTTGATTTTGCAGAGATCTGGTATGGCACCTGTGTAATGACAGATTTGGTCACTGAGCGAGAATTAGTATGTTAGGCTCTTTCTGAAAGGTGGGAATGATGATGCAAGGAAGAGTGTGTCAAGAATGGGAAGTTGAAGTGCCTTGAGAAGAATCTCTGCTTTGTATCCTCCTTTCTTCCTTCCCTTTCATAGCCCATCCCGTTTTCCCTGGTAACTGAGAATTGGACAACACTTCACTGCATTTTATTCAGATCCTGAACTGTTTAAAGTGTCAGATGAGCAGTGTGCAAGCCATCTAAGAAGGAATGTATGCATGCCTGCCATGCCTTATTCTCATTGCAGGTAGCCACTGCTCCCATGGAGGTGGACATCAATACAAAATACCTGAGGCATTATCTTACTAGTGATAGAAATGACCTCCTCAAATCTGTCTACAAGGGTGCATGTTGCCTCTGAGTACGCTGACAGAACTCTTGCCTTTCTTGTTCCTGCTCCAAAAGTGTCTTCTTTGTGGATTATCCCCAAAGCTGAACATCTGTGTCCAATTGAGCAGGGCTTGGAGTTGTCCTATTGTCATTGCTTCCAACAACTGTCCCAGCTCACGTACCTGACCATGTAGTAATTACCATCTCTGCTGGATTCCATATCTGTGTACTTCTGCATTGGTGAAAAGTGGGCAGATGTTTTGGAATAGTTGTCACTAAGGGTGTCTGGTCTCCTCTGAGGACTTCTTGGCTTCTTCCTGCTCTATCTCGTGTGTCTCCCTTAAACGCAAACTGCAGGAAATAAAGATATGAATGAGAATTTACAGTTGGAAAAGGTTCGAAGTCTACATTTTCCATATCTTAACAGTCACTCTGTCACGGTGAAGTGAAAAGTCATGAACCAAGTGGCAGTTTGATATTTAATTCTGTCACCAGGTCCATGAGAGAGTCCATCTCTCCATTGCCTACATCCATTGACTGAACCATCTTGACAGTATCCAGCAACATTCTTCTCAGCAGCAGTTCCAGTGAATGGCTGTGTCTCTGTGGCCACTCTGCATATTTCTGGAGTATTGTGCTCTGTACTCCGATGAGGCAAAACAGTGTATTCGGGTGTGAAAAGTGGAATGTGTGGAGGTGATGGATGACAGCAGTTAAGGAAAATGAATTTGATGGACAGGATCAAGATGGCGCTAACATGAGTTCTTAAAATCATAGAATCCCTACAGTGTGGAAGCAGGCCATTCGGCCCACCTGATCCACCAAAGAACATTCCACCCAGACCCACCCCAACTCTATCTCTGTAATCCAGCATTCCCCATGGCTACCCCACCTAGCCTGTATATCCGTTGATCCTATGGGCAGTTTAGCATGACCAATCCACTTAACCTGCACATATTTAGACTGTAGGAGGAAACTAGAGCATCCAGAAGAAACCCACGCAGACACGGGAAGAACGTGCAAACTCCACACAGTCGCCTGAGTGTGGAATCATATCTGGGTCACTGGCGCTATGAAGCATCAGTGCTAACCACTGAGACACTCTGTCACTTGGGTGGGTGTTCACATGGAGAGGGAGGAAGTGCCCTCTTATTCTGCTCAGACCTTCTGCTACCTCAACGGTTTTGTTCTAGCAAGCTGCTGCTTTTCCTGGTTATTGAGGCTACCAATGCTGCTGCTATTCATATTGCTGCTCCTGTTTCTCCAACTTTTACACGATGAATCTGTGAAGCAAGATGGCTGTGAGGTGAGTACAGCAATTAGAACCCAAATAAGAGAAATATTCAAATTTGAAGATCCGTTGGGCTTGACTTCATATTGAAACACTCCCCCAGTCAGCTTCTCGGACAAAAACCTTGGCAGTTTACTCAGCAGGTTAACTTTTGGCCAGTGTGGTCCAATTTTTCCCATTTTAAAAATTTGTTATGGTTCTGATTACGTTACAAGAGCTTGATTGCTATAATGAGTTCTCTGCCATTTTGTAGTGAGTATTTCTGCTGCCTCCAAGCAAATGCACAGTTAAATCAGCATTGCCCGGGAATGGGCGTTAAGTACAAGGAAACAATTTTAACAACATGACCGTTCCATTCTCTCAAGCGAGTTAGATTATAATCAGTGTGTGGAAGTTTGGTCTTGTTCATTGGTGAATATACTTGAAGTCTTTCACATGTCCAGTTTTGTGAAGCTCTTGTATCTTTCTGTTATGCAGCTCTGACTGAAGAGACCTTGTGTGTTGGCCTGGCCAGAGTGGGTTCCAAAAATCAGAAAATTGCCGTTGCAACTGTACAGCAAATGGTGAAGATGGATCTGGGTGACCCTTTGCATTCTCTGATCATCACAGGCCATATGCATCCTATGGAAATTGAGATGCTTAAACTATTTGCTGTGGACAAATCAAGTTTTAATAAGCTTATAACACTTGATGGATCAACATACTACTCATAACAACAAAAAAGTGTAATTTTAAGTCTTAATTCAAGTATAGTACTTCACTGGAAGTGGAAAAAAAGTTGCAGTGTCTGATATAAAAAGTGATGAAGAGCATTTCTGCTGAAGGTTTAACTGGTATGTTGTCTCCACGGATACTGACTGGCCTCCTGAATGTTTCAAGAATCAGCAGTTTTCTTTACTTCAGTTTATAAAGCCTATAAAATTCTAATGGGTAAATGCAGGGAAAATGTTCCCAATGACCATGAAGTCCAGCACCAGTGATCGCAGTTTAAGGAGGTGAGGTAGGCTATTTAGGACTGAGATGAGAAGAAATGTCTGCACTCGGGGTGGTGAGACTGTGGAATTCTCTGCCATAGAAAGCGATGGAGGCCAAACCAATGATTGATTTCAGTAAAGAGATAGATGTAGTTCTTACAGCTAAAGTGATCGAAGGGAATGTTTTGAAAGCAGGGACAGAGTACTGAGTAGGATGATCAGCCATGATCATATTGATTAGCAGAGAAACTCAACAGGCAGATTGGATGATTCATATTCCTATTTTCTATGATTCTATGTTTGCTTTCTGTTTAGAACATAGAATGTACAGCACAGGAACCAGCCCTTCGGCCCACAATGTTGTGTCGAACATGCTGCCAAATTAAACTAATTTTTTCTGCCTGCCTTAGGTCTATGTCCCTCTATTCCTTGCATATTCATGTACTTATCTAAAAGTCTCTTAAATGCCTCTATTATATCTGCCTCCACCACCACCCCTGGCATTGTGTTCCACACTCCTAACACAGTGTAAAATACATGCCTCTCACATCTCCTTTGAACTCACCCCCTTGCCTTAAATGCACATCCCCTAGTTTTAGACATTTCAACTTTGGGGAAAAAGGTTCCGACCATCGACCCTATCTGTGCATCTCATAATTTTATAGATTTTTATCAAATCTCCCCTCAGCCTCTGTCGCTCCGGAGAAAATGACCCAAGTTTTTCTAGCCTGTCCTATTAGTTCATACCCTCTAATCCAGGCAGCATTCTGGTAAACCTCTTCTGCACCTTCTCCAAAGTCTCCGCATCTTTCCTGTCGTGTAGTGACCCAGAATTGAATACAGTACTCTTAAGTGTGGCCAAACCAAAGTCTTATAAAGCTGCAACATGACATCCTGATTCTTGTACTCAATTCCTGACCAATAAAGGCAAGCACGCCATACACCACCTTTACCCCCCAATCTACTTGTGTGACCACTGTCAGGGATCTATGGATTTGAACCCCAAGACCCTTCTATACATTCAGTTCTGTTCCGGGTACTGCCATTAACTGTATACTTTTCCTTAACATTTGATCTCCTAAAGCGCAGCACCTCACATCTAACACAGATTAAACTCCATCTGCCATTTCTCTTCCCATATTTGCAACTTGAACTATACCCCACTGTATCCTTTGACAACTTTCTACTTTATAAAGTGAGTCCCTAAAATTGTTAGTTTTGAGCACTGTGAGGAGTTACATTTTTTAAAAAAATTTAACCGCAATATAACTATTATGACCCTGATGGGAATAAGCATTGGAAATTAAGATCCACTATTCCATGAGTCACCACAAATGTGAAATCTCTAGGATGGTTAATCTGAGTTTGACCACTATCTTTTGCACCCTCTGTATTGTCTTCTCACTGTTCCTAAACTGTGGATGTAGTACTCCAGTTGAGCTTAACCAGAAAGTTTAACATAACTTGACATTATACTCTCTGCCTCAACTGATGAAGCCCAGAATGCCATATGTTCCATAAACTACTCTCGCAGTCCTTCCTACCACCTTCATTGGTGATTGATTTATGTTCACATACATTCAGTTCTGTCTGCTTCTGCACTCCTTTTAGAGTTGTACGTTTCATTTTATATTGCCTCTCCATGCTCTTCCAAACCAAATTAATCAATTCACACTTCTCTGTATTAAATGTCAGCTGTTATTTGTCTGCTCATTCCACCAACTTGTCTGTGTCTTTTAGAGATTCTACCTAGCCTCATGATTCAGAATACTTGCAAATTTTGAAGTTGTGCTCTGTACACCAAGATTTAAGCATCAGTTGAGTAAATACACTGGTTGATGCCACACTAAGTCATGAAGGGTCTAGGCCTGAAACATCAGCTTTCCTGCTCCTCTGATGCTGCTTGGCCTGCTGTGTTCATCCAGCTCTACACCTTGTTATCTTACACCAAAATATCGCATGGCTACTACTTTGTGCACGTGTGTATGTGTGTGTGTGTGTTGAATTGGCTTCTGTCTTCCAGAATACAGGATTGACGGCAGTAACCTTTTGGGAGAGATCAGTGTTTCCACTCCTTTGGAAAGCCTTGTGTAAATTCACAGTTATATATCCATATGAAAAAGGATACATTTTCAGGGCTATCAGGAAACAGTAGAGTGCATCCACTTGATTAGCTCTTGTGGAACAAACAAGATGGACTGAATTACCTCCTTTGATCTGATATCAGATGAGCACAGGATTAGGGAACATTCATTGTTTCACTTCAGACATGAAGAGTTTAGCAGTAAATTCAAGATTTTCTGGCACTTATTTCACTAGATCCCATAATTTATTGCCTTCCTGAGCAAAAGGGAGAATACCGAAGGGACAAGCAACTAATCAAAGCAGTGACTACCACATGTATTTAAACCTAAAACTGTAAATCTGGAGGCACATATGATGAGAAAATACAGGGAATATCACCACTTACAGCTTTATTGAAATTCAGAGAACAAAGGATCATGATGACAAAAATGGGGGTCAATCATAATGATCAGACAAAATGAACAAATTGTGTGAAGTTGATTATTAAGATTCAAGGGAGTTAAAGTATTTTTTAAAGATACTAAGAAGTATCTGTATCTCTAATGGATTTGGAAGGAAAATCCTAATTGACAGATCTTGAATTCTTTGAAGATGTTCCAAATGAAATTTAAGTGACCAAGTTCCATGGAATTACTTAGTAACAGAAGAATGAAACATAAGATTGAATTCTTAACTTGGACTTTGATCAACAACACTTTTGCCAAGGAAGCTACTCGATACAAGCAGACATCAGTTAATACACACAATTCCAATTGTGGCAAACTGACAGTATATAGAATGCCTGATATGACTGTGGTCAATCAGGAATATGGGAAATAATATTGAAGACGGTTCTGTTATTTCAGCATTACAATCAGAGTGGCTCATTTGCCTTTCACTTAACTATGGGAACCAAGGGTGGCAGCTTTTGACATTAAGCCAGAATTTGACATGAGTGTGGCATCAAGAAGCCCTGGCAAAATTGAAATCAGTGGGAGTCAAGGAAAACTCTCCACTTGACAGTCATACCTAGCACAAAAAAAAATGGTTGTGGTTGTTGGAAGTCAGTCATTTCAGTCCCAGAACATCACTGCAGGCATTTCCTCAGGTCGTGTCCAGGCCCAACTCTGCATGGTTGCTTCATCAAAAAACACCTGTCCACTATCAGATCAGGCATGGAATCTTCACTGATTATTGCACAATATTCAATACCATTCACACTCAGCTTTCACATCAGTGCATGTCCATTTGCAGCAAGACCTGGACACATTCAAGATTGTGCTAATAAGTGACAATGTCCATCTCCAATAAGGCTCAACCCATTTGTCATGACATTCAATTGTGTTACCATCACTGAATCCAACAAAAATCAAAATGATGCTGCTGGTAAGCTATGTAGCATTCGGGCTCTTGGGGCCATCCCTCCAGACGGGCACTTCCTGTCTCATTATCCTTTTTGTCTTTACGTTTTTCCTGGACCTTGTGGATGAAGGCAGACAGAATGGGATTCTTGGCAAGACGGTGACCTGGCCTGGCAGCAAAGCCAGAGATTGCTGGTTGTGGTGTGCCCAGACCTGGGACTCCAGGTGTAGTGTGCCCGGACCTGGCACTCCAGGTTGTGGTGTGCCCGGATCTGGGACTCCTGGTTGTGGTGTGTCCGGACCTGGGACTCCTGGTTGTGGTGTGCCCGGACCTGGCACTCCTGGTTGTGGTGTGCCCGGACCTGGCACTCCTGGTTGCGGGGCGAACATGTGTCCAGCATGGAACCCAGCGTTGGTGGCCCATTGGCAAGGTGGGCCCAGCGATGGAGAGGTGGCAACTCCGTTTGTGGGCCTGGCGCAGGCAGCAGAGGAGTGGCAGCACAGGTGTCGTTGGTCGGCCAGCTTTGGGGACATGGAGGAGGTAGTGGAACGAAGATGGACTGACTTTCTTTCTTTATCTTTTCATTACTTAAATATTTGTAATGGTGACGGACTGTGGCTACAATTGAGGATTTTCAGTGTATTTTACTGTTATTCATTGTAGAGTACAAGTGACAATAAATCATTATTTATTCAGTTCAATTGCATCCAAGAAAAAACAGTCTACTTGATCAGTACCCTAAGCATTCATTCCCTGTGCCACCAGTACACAGCGGCAGCAAGGTGTACATAATTAGGGACTGCAGCAAGATGCCAAGCCTCCTTGAACAGTGTATTTTAAACATGTGATCTGTATCACTTAGAACGACACTGGCAGCAGATATATGGGACACTACCACCTTCAATATCGCTCCACACTACACCCCATCCTGATTTGGAACTGTGTTGTCATTCCTTAACCAGCACTGATTAAAGAGTATGAAATTAAGGGAAAGTTGCCATCTCCAAACGTGGGAGGTACTGAAGTGAAAAAACTGGGATTACTGTTTGGAGCTTAGGGTTTCTTACCTACATTAAAACCTGGATCTAATCCAATTGTAAACTTGTTAAAATTATAGAGAGGAATGAGTTTCACGTTTTGAAAATATTTTGCAACTTATGTAATTGGGCAAATAAGTTACAAATAAAATGTAAAGTGTTGCTTATTAACTAAAATAATGAGCCTCATTTGTAAGCAAGAAAGGGAGACATATTAACATACAACCGATCAGTGTCAAGTGGCAAATAAAAATAAAGCGTATCAATTCATGAACAAACCAGTTCATTATAAAACTATAGTGATTACACAGGTTTTTTAGTTCACTGGAGATGCCTAAGTTGAAGTGCTCCAGGGTTCACAATAAATCGGAGTAG